GAGCAGAGGTCGCAGCAGCTGTTTTCTTGGGATGCTCAAGGTATTTTGCTTGTTGACTTATTGGAGGGCCAAAGACTAATAACATCTGCTTGTTAGGAGAGTGTTTTGAGGTGAGCCAAATCCGTAGCAGAAAACAGCCCGGGGAAGCTGCGCCAGAGAGCCCTTCTCTTCCAGAGCAGTGTTCCCGATCGTTGCTCATCATTCCTCTCCTGGAGCAGCGTGACCTTGCAGGTTTCCTGAAGGCTGAGGAAAACCAGTGGGGTAGTCCAGTCCAAACCTCAGGCCCGAGAACCCGGGGCTGGTGGGAGAGGTCCCTGTGCAGGCCTGAGAACCCGGGGCTGGTGGGAGAAGTCCCTGTGCAGGCCTGAGAACCTGGGGCTGGTGGGAGAGGTCCCTGTGCAGGCCTGAGAACCCGGGGCTGGTGGGACAGGTCCCTGTCCAGGTCTGAGAACCCGGGGCTGGTGGGAGAGGTCCCTGTCCAGGCCTGAGAACCCAGGGTGGTAGGACAGGTGCCTGTCCAGGCCTGAGAACCCAGGGTGGTAGGACAGGTGCCTGTCCAGGCCTGAGAACCTGGGGCTGGTGGGAGAGGTCCCTGTCCAGGCCTGAGAACCTGGGGCTGGTGGGAGAGGTCCCTGTCCAGACCTGAGAACCCAGGGTGGTAGGACAGGTGCCTGTCCAGGCCAGAGAACCCAGGGTGGTAGGACAGGTCCCTGTCCAGGCCTGAGAACCCAGGGTTGGTGGGAGAGGTCCCTGTCCAGGTCTGAGAACCTGGAGCTGATGGGACAGGTGCCTGTCCAGGCCTGAGAACCCAGGGTGGTAGGACAGGTGCCTGTCCAGGCCTGATGAACCCAGGGTGGTAGGACAGGTGCCTGTCCAGGTCTGAGAACCCAGGGCCGGTGGGAGAGGTCCCTGTGCAGGCCTGAGAACCCGGGGCTGGTGGGACAGGTGCCTGTCCAGGTCTGAGAACCCAGGGTGGTAGGACAGGTGCCTGTCCAGGCCTGAGAACCCAGGGTGGTAGGACAGGTCCCTGTCCAGACCTGAGAACCTGGGGCTCTTGGGAGAGGTCCCTGTGCAGGCCTGAGAACCTGGGGCTGGTGGGAGAGGTCCCTGTCCAGGCCTGAGAACCCTGGGCTGGTGGGAGAAGTTCCTGTCCAGGTCTAAAAACACAAGAACCAGGAAGACAGATGTCCAAGGGCAGGAGAGATCCAGATCCAATAGAGAGTAAATCCCGCTTGCCCTACCTCTTTGTCACACTCTGGCCCTCAGCGGGTTGGATGAGGCCCACCTTCCCTGGGGAGGGCGCTGATTTAAATGCTAATCTTCAGAAATGCCCTCAAAATACACACAGATGCAGTGTGTTATCAGCGGCCTGGGCATGCCGTAGGACGGTCAGTTGACAAAAATGTGAAATTAACCATCACTGTTACCACAGCCAGTGATGATAAGAATCCCAGGAAGCAAACAGCCTCTGGAAGTTGTGACTGTCATCCCAGCCTCTGCAGTCTGACGCGCCCAGAGCATTATCCAGGCTCAGGATGGAGAGTCGGGAAGCGCGGTTGCTCTTTCTGGCGTGTGTGCTGCACACTTCAGCAGGTCACCCATTCACTCAGCACATGCCTGCTGAGTTCCTACCACGTGCCAGACCCTGATCTTGGCACCCGGGACACAGCAGCAAACTTCGACACATGGCCTGCCATTGTGGTGCCTGCATTCTGGGGTGGGCATACAAGCGACAAATGATACGCTTTATGCCAGGTTAGGATGTGACAAGTGCTATTCTAAGAAATGCAAAAGAGGAATGGGGAGAGAATGTGTAGGGGTGGTGAGGGCTTCGAGTTTGAAAAAATATTCTTTAAAATGTATTTATTGGGCCGGTGCCGTGGCTCAATAGGCTAACCCTCCGCCTAGCGGCGCCAGCACACTGGGTTCTAGTCCCGGTCGGGGCGCCGGATTCTGTCCCGGTTGCTCCTCTTCCAGGCCAGCTCTCTGCTGTGGCTCGGGAGTACAGTGGAGGATGACCCAAGCCCTTGGGCCCTGCACCCCATGGGAGACCAGGAGAAGCACCTGGCTCCTGCCTTCGGATCAGCGCGGTGTGCCAGCCGTGGCGGCCATTGGAGGGTGAACCAACGGCAAAGGAAGACCTTTCTCTCTGTCTCTCTCTCTCACTGTCCACTCTGCCTGTCAAAAAAAATGCATTTATTTATTTGAAAGGCAGAGTTACATAGAGAGAGGAGGGAGACACACCCACACACACACACAGGTCTTCCACCCACTGTTTCACTCCCCAAATGGCCACAATGGCTGAAGCTGGGCCAGTCCAAAGCCAGGAGCAAGGAGCTTACTCCAGTCTCCCATGTGGGTGCGGGGACCCAAGCACTTGGGCCATCTTCTGTCTTCCCAGGCCATAGCAAGGAGCTGGATTGGAAGTGGAGAAGCTGGGACTTAAACCTGAGCCTGTATGAGATGCTGGCACTGCAGGCAGCGGCTTTACTGGCTGTGTCACAGCCCTGCCCACTAAGGGCTTCAATCATCAATCACTTGATGAGGGCGTGTCTCGCTAACAGGGTGGCATGGGAAGACAGTGTAACGGAGAGAGAAGGGTGGAGGGAGCCAGCTGAGTACCAGAGGCAAGACTTCTGGGGGGGGGGTTGGGGGGGGCAGCGCACAGCTGTGAGGAACAGCAAGGGGCAGAGCAGAACTGGGGAGGAGGAGGGGGGATGCCGAGGTCAGAGGTCAGGGAGCCCTGCCCACCCAGTCCTGGGGGCCCCCATTTCCTGCTCTGAGTTCAGCTCCTCCTGTGCCCATGCAGCTGATCGCCTCTCTGGTGCCATGCCGGTCTCCCGGTGCTGGAGGGTCCACTCAGTGTTTGCTGACACTTTGTAGGGGGAGAGCACATGTCAGTCACGCTTTCATTCCTGCCAGGCAAGACAGCTGCCACGAAGCCTCCTCAAGCGGCTCTGTTTATAGGGCGGGAGTCGCTCCCCCATGCCTACGGGCACTGTTTCCCGGCGGGATGGCTTCCCCCATCCCTGGGACATGGCTGGCGCTGGGGCACGCAGCTGTGTGATCCCACGGGGCCCGTGCTCTGAAAGGCCCTGCGCTTGGTCGCACGCTCTTCCGTGGCCACCCGAACGCATTCCCTAATTTTGTCTTTGCGCTTGTGTTTTCCTCGGGATGCCTGGCAAGGCCGTGGGGCGCGCTCACCAGCAGAGATGTAGGACACGTGGTCCGCACACCTGCTGCCGCTGCTGGCCCCAGGAGCACGGCGTTCCGGGGCGCCCCCTGGTGGTGGCAGTCCAGCCAGACTCAGGCTGAGGCCGAGTCCTACGCTGGCCTCTTGAGTCTGGGGCCTCTCTAGCCAGAGCTTGATTAAAACCCAGACAGGAGGCACCGGTGCCCTCAGGGGCATCCAGGACCAGGACCCGGGCGCATGTTCTGTCTCCGGCTGCTTCTTGCGTTAGCCTACGGCTGATGCTGGCCCCTGGGCATAAGAGGGGAGGGCACAGGTCTCCCTTTCAGCCCGCTCTCTGCCGAAGGCTGAGCGTACCAGAGGACAAGAGCAGCTGGGTTAGTTTTGTGCAGCTTTGCAGGTGAAGGCCACTTGAGGGGTCACGTTCACTGCGTGAATGTGATGCCTCTGAATTCAGTCCTCTCTCCTGGTGGGGAAAATCCCCAGGGGTGTGTGCGCTATGGGATGCAGTCTGTGATGTCAGTGACGCGGTGCTAGGGCTCCCCTGTGCTTGTTCCGTAGCTGGCACGGCCCCATCTTTGATGAATGGAACACTCCCGATCCTGCACGATTGGAGGCTTTTTCTTCAATTGGGATGTAATAGGCGGAAGATAAAAACGCCAAGGTCAGAAGGAGGGGAAAGTCTTTGTATCCTGGTCCCTTTAATGGTACCTTCCTTCCTGCATTTGGAACGAAGGGCCAGCATTTTCATCTTGTGCCAGGCTTTGCAAATTCCCTAGCTGGCCCCGGGCCAGCCCAGCTGGGGCGCAGTGAACCGGCTTCTGCTCACCACCCTCAGGTCCCAGGAAGACTGTCCCTGCAATGCCAAGATGGACACCACTGTGGTGGGGGCCCTGCTACCCATGGTCTGCACCGTGCTCTCCCCTGCTTTTAATTTCAACGAATGAGGAGAAAAATCCCCAGACTTCAGGGTCCATTTGGGGATCAATTCCCCTAAAAAGAATGAATAAGAAATCATGTCACTGTAGGCCAGAGTGTACCATAAGGCACGGATATTTTTAGAAGTGCAAATTCAGGGCTGATGCCATGGCCTAGAGAGTTAAGTTGCTCTCTGCTCTCTGCTGCGTGGGCATCCCATATGGGTGCCGATTCAAGTCCAGCTCCCTGCTAACATGCCTGGGAAAGCAGTGGAAGATGGGCTCAAGTACTTGGGCCCCTGCACCCACATGGGAGACCTGGAATAAGCTCCTGGTTCCTGGCTTCGGTCTGGCCCAGTCCTGGCCCTTGTGGCCATTTGGGGAGTAAAGCAGTTGGATGAAAGATATCCCCCCCACCTTTCTTTCTCTGTAACTCTGTCTTTCAAATAAATAAACCTTTTTTATAAAAAAGGTAAAATTTCATACAGTCTCAACAGGTAATGAAAATAAAAGACAAATTTTCTCTTAACTGTACAATGCTGATGGAATTTCCACCGCAGGTTTAGAACAGGTAATGGTTTAGAACAGGTAACGGTGATGTGAACGCCACACAGAAAATGCACACCTGTATCTCATTACCTTCTGCATCGTCCCCAGGACCTTCTCATTTCCTCTCCCAAAGGGCGTGCCAGTGCCCACACTTTGAGCAAGAAGGCTAGAGGGAGGAGGAATGAGGTTCCTTTTCCAGTTGTCTTATAAAAAAAGAAAAAAAAGAAAGAAATCCTTCCCTTTCAACACTAGAGGTCGCTCTGCGACCACAGATGCGAGCGCAGAGTTGTGGCGTCAGAGGTCAGCGCCGCTAATCTGTATAAATTGCTGCACCATGAGCCAAATTTGTACCTAATTCGAGCTGCTTTGATGCAGCAGCCCCGCTCCTATGAAAAGTTTCCTTCTCTGCGGCAGAACTGTGGGTGTGGCCACCCCGGTGTTTCTCCACCGAGCCGGGTGCTTTTCAGGCCCGGGGCCAGAGCACCCAACTGTCTCTTTCCGGTTGTTGGTGTTACCTGCCACAGGGTGCCAGGCCATGCCAACCTGGTCTGCATTTCTTGATGCAACGTGGGATGCAGGTGGGCGATGGCCGCAGGCACACGAACTGTGTGGGAGGAACTGTGTGGGAGTAGCTGTGTGGGAGTAACTGTGGGAGTAACTGTGTGGGAGTAACTGTGGGAGGAACTGTGTGGGAGTAACTGTGTGGAAGTAACTGTGTGGGAGTAACTGTGGGAGGAACTGTGTGGGAGGAACTGTGGGAGGAACTGTGTGGGAGTAAGTGTGGGAGTAACTGGGAGAAACTGTGGAAGTAATTGTGGGAGTAACTGTGTGGGAGGAACTGTGGGAGTAACTGTGGGAGGAACTGTGTGGGAGGAACTGTGTGGGAGGAACTGTGGGAGGAACTGTGTGGGAGTAACTGTGTGGAAGTAACTGGGAGTAACTGTGGGAGTAACTGTGTGGGAGGAACTGTGGGAGTAACTGTGGGAGGAACTGTGTGGGAGGAACTGTGTGGGAGGAACTGTGGGAGTAACTGTGTGGGAGGAACTGTGGGAGGAACTGTGTGGGAGGAACTGTGGGAGGAACTGTGTGGGAGTAACTGTGTGGGAGGAACTGTGGGAGGAACTGTGTGGGAGTAGCTGTGTGGGAGGAACTGGGAGGAACTGTGTGGGAGTAACTGTGGGAGGAACTGTGTGGGAGGAACTGTGTGGGAGGAACTGTGGGAGTAACTGTGTGGGAGGAACTGTGGGAGTAACTGTGTGGGAGGAACTGTGTGGGAATAACTGTGGGAGTAGCTGGTGGGAGTAACTGTGTGGGAGGAACTGTGTGGGAGTAGCTGTGTGGGAGGAACTGTGGGAGTAGCTGGTGGGAGTAACTGTGTGGGAGGAACTGTTGGGTACTCTGGGGTTTCTCCCTCCTGTTGGATGGAGATTTGCAAGACCAGCTCTGTGACCAGTGCAGGGCGCATCATTACTTACGTCTCTTGGGGAGGGGGTCTGACCCCCTCAGAATGACTCACTGATTGGAAATTAAAACCCTGTGTCGGCATCCGTAGATTTCAGCTTCCTTCGGATAGCTGCCCCTCGGGGTACCTGACACTAAGATCCTAGACTGGGGATATTTGCCTGGGTAGAAATTTTACCTCCCATTGCCAGCAAAAAGAGTGCATCACCTTGTTAATGGCTTCTGCTCACTGGGGCTTAGTCTGTGCTGGGTGGGGGTTGGGGGCACTCCGGTCTCCCCCTTCAGTGAGCTGAGCAAGCAGAAGAGGCCCAAATGGACCTACAGCTCCCTCCTGAGCCTCCAATGGTGGATGCCCGTGTCACACGGGAAACAGGCTCGGCTCACTTGTTGGCGCTGGAGCTGGAGCTGGAGCCAGGCCAGCTGGCCCAAAGGCTCCCATCCCCCACCACACCCGCACCCCCTTGGCAGGGCTGCGCCCCTGCACCTGTCGTGGAGGAATTGACTCCGGTGGTCGCACCTGGGGCAGACTCCTTTCCCCCAGGCGTGGCCACCTCCAGGAAGACTTCAGCTGCTGCAAGCCACACGGTGTCTGTGGACTGCACAGTACAATTGCCCAAGCTGTGCAGCCGCCTCCGGGTTGGATCCAGGGCTGGACCGGGTTTTAACCCGTGTGCATTTTGCGGAGGTTTGGGGCACAGGAGCCGGTGGAGGCCATTGCTGTCTGGGAGGAGACGAGGAAAGCGCGCTGTGGTCATTGACCTTGGCCCAGCCCTGCCCACCGACCCTGGAGTTGGCGAGGTGCGGGATGAGCGTGCCAATGCGTGGCACCAGTGCCACAGGCACACTCCCGCAATCTGTGCGTATTCTCAGCGGGCACCTGGCCGTCCTCGCCTGATCTCACGGCGATCCGAGTAGTGAAGGGGGTCCTGGGGGGTCCTCCCCAGGGGAGCGCGCCAGCCTGAGCCCTGCCACCCCGCAGCCCGCTTCCGCTGCCCTCACCAACGTGCGCGCTTGCATGGCCTGCCTGCACTTGGGTGAACAGTCCCCCATCAATCACCCGCAGAACCGCTATTTGGGGGGATTGGCTAGAAAGGAGGATTTTACTCTATAAACAGGATCGATCGCACTGAGGAGCCATGAGCACACTCCCAGGGGGCGGTGCTGGCGCTGGCACTGGATGCGGGAGCCAACAGCACAGCGTCCCCGCAGCGCTGGCGGTGGCGGCTGCGGGAGCGAGGGAGCGAGCACCTGCTGAGGGCACCCTTGGCCTTGGGGCCCGGCCCCCGCCAGCGTCAGCAGCTCTGGGGTTGTGCCCAGGGCCCACCTGCCTTGTGCTCCCCTACGTGGTAACCCGGGCTCCGCGCCTGCCGCTGCCTGTGCCTCGCACACCTAGCCCAGGAACCCGGCCTCCCCAGCCACCAGCGGTCCCGCAAACCGCAGCTGGAGAGTGGGAGGAGCCCCTCCCGCTGCGCTGGGCCGGGAAAGCCTGTTTTTGCCCTGCGGACACAGCCCGAGCCCAGGACTCGGCCGCGCTCAGTGGGACCGAGGGGAAGGGGACGCCTGCAGCTCATTCTGAGCGGGTGTCTGAGCGGCGTGGTTCCCACCCCCGGTACCCAGGGTGCAGGAGAGGGGTGCGGCGCGCTCCCGCGGCGGCAGGTGCTGGGCGCCTCGCGTGCGCCACCGCGCTCCGGGCCAGCGGGATGCGTGCTGCGCCCTCCGGTGGTGCAGGCGCGTGCTTGCCCTGGCCGCCGCAGCCCAGGGCCGCATCCCTCCCCCAGGGTTTCTGGGGGCTGCAGGAGGGACCCCAGGGGTTTCCCAGGTTCCCTAGGAGACTCCGCTGTGCGCCTGGGCTGGAGAGCCTGCGTTATCCACCGAGGAAAGCGCTCCCCGTGGGAGGTGTTGCCCTGTGGGGGAAGGGACTGGAAAAAGTTCATGGAAAGCCACACATGGTTTAAAATGGTTTTTTTTCCACCAAAATAAGCTTGCCTTTTTTTTTTTTTTAAAGATTTATTTATGTTTTTAAAAGGCAGAGTTACAGAGAGGCGGGTGGGGGGCTTCCATCCGCTGGTTCACTCCCCAGATGAACGGGTTCTTCCTGGTCTCCCACGCGGGTGCAGGGGCCCAGGTACTCTGGCCACCTTCTACCGCTTTCCCAGGCCATGGCAGAGAGGTGAATCAAACTGAGGCCCGTGTGGGATGCCGGTGCTGCAGGCCATGGCCAGCGCTGGCCCCGAAGCTTGTCTTTTAAGTGCCTTTTACATGAACTTATGTTTGGCTTTGAAATGAGTGTGTTAGATTGGTGTTGATCATTTTACCCAGGTCTCACCTGTGTGTAGCTGGAATCTGGAGATTTCTGATCCTCCTGCCGGACCCTGTGGGGCGCCTGGCATAAAGCCACTCCCAGGGCTGCCCTTCCACGGAAGGCACTGGAGAAGCCAAGTGGATGACCGCCTGGTTTCTTGGAGATGGAGGTGGCCACGTGACACAAAGCTGGTCAATCAAATGGAAGGGGAAGTCCACTGCTGTGTTTCCAGAAAATTCGTGTCCTTTTTTTTTTTTCTTTCTCCAATTAAAAGAAATAGATGTGAAAGACCGCCCTCACTCCTCTCCTTGCTTTGGATACAGGTATGATGCCTGGAACTCATGCAGCTCCCCTGCAACCGTGAGGCTGAGGCTAAGAGAGGAGGAGACACTGCAGCTCTAAGAGTGAAAGGCAACCCCGGCAGCCTCCTGCCTCCAGGCTTCTGATCATGGGGAAAAACAGTGTCCTGTTTGTTCCAGCCTCTGGTAGGTTATAGTTACTCTATGTCATGCTCTCTAGTGCATGTTAGAACAACGGCACTGGTGATGTGGTGTGGTGATGGAAGGCCTGACTGAGCGAGAAGACAAAAACCTTTCTTTGGAGCATGTGTTAGGGACCAGGCCCTGGACTTTCACACACTTTCTGAGTGTTCCCAGTGGTAGCAGAGACGTTGGTGCCATTGTGACCATTTGTAGTGGAGAGAGCTGAGGTCGGGTCATTGTTCAAGCAGCCGGTTTAGTGAGAAGGACTGCTTTGTGAAGTGCTGGGGTCACGTGTCCAGTGGGGTTTCTCTGTCTCCAGAGCCTCGATCTCTTACGAGGTTTTGTTTTCTCGCCCCCTATTGCTTGTCGAGAGTGGACACTGGGGGCAGGCGCTGTGGTGCAGCAGGGAAAGCTGCCGCCTGCAGCGCTGGCATCCCATGTGGGTGCTGGGTTCAAGTCCCGACTGCTCCTCTTCTGATCTGGCTCTTTGTTATTGCACCTAGGAAAGCAGTGGAGGATGGCCCAAGGCCTTGGGTCCCTGCACCCATGCGGGAGTCCCAGATGAAGCTCCTGGCTCCTGGCTTAGGCCTGGCCCAGCCCTAGTCATTGCACCTATTTGGGGAGTGAACCAGTGGATGGAAGGTCTCTGTGTCTCCTTTTCCCTCTAACTCTACCTTTCAAATAAATAAATCTTAAAAAAAGAAAGTAGCTGTTGGGGGCTGGCACTGCTGGGGGCTGAGCTCGCCCGCGGGGCTGCCAGCATCTCCGGAGAGCACCACGCGCTGCTACTCCCAGCCCTGGCCGCTGCCGCCGCCTCCGCACAACACCGGGGCAACCAGGGCGGCTGAGGGTATGGAGCTGGCCGGCTGTGTGGAGCAGCCCCTGGCGCCCGTGAGCTGAGTATGGAGCTGGCCGGCTGTGTGGAGAGGCCCTGGCGCCCGTGAGCTGAGTATGGAGCTGGCTGGCTGTGTGGAGCCTCCCCTGGCGCCCGTGAGCTGAGTATGGAGCTGGCCGGCTGTGTGGAGAGGCCCTGGCGCACGTGAGCTGAGTATGGAGCTGGCCGGCTGTGTGGAGCCGCCCCTGGCGCCCGTGAGCTGCAGGCCCAAGCCCAGGAGCAGAGCACCCGGGGAGGGAGGGCACGGCAAGTTCTTCCCGAGGGAGGGGCTTGTTGACTGCAGGACGCACGGAATGCAAAGCCACTGAGCTGGGCTCTGAAGTGAGGGGCCTGTTCCCGCTCAGGTCTGCACCGAGAGTCGGGAATCTGTGTGTGCGAGGGAGAAGGGTGGAGAGCCGACTCCAGTAATGCGCCGGAGACTGCGCATTTTGACACCTGCCTAAGAGCGTTGGTAGTGAGAAGCGGAGGGTGATTTGGGGTCGGCTGTCCGTTCGCTGTCCGCCTTTGAGACTCACACAGTCTTGTGTGGGACCCTTCCCCTAGCCATGGTGGCATGTGGCCAGGTGGGCCTGCCCCTGGAGGACAGGAGCGCCGAGGCACCCAGCCGGGGCCCAGCGGCCGCACGCATGCGGCACATGGCTCTCTGCACCGGAGCGCCTGGCCTCCCCTCTCATCGACTCGCATCTTCCCCTAATGGAGAGATCGTTAAGAAAATTGGTTTACAAGGCTCCCGCTGAGCGTTTGGGCATGGGAGAGAGTCAACAGACGCCAGCCACACCACAGAGCTGTAACATACGACGCTGTATCCAGCGCTTAATGAGGCCAGTGCACACAGGAAAGCAGATTAGCCGCAGATAAATGGACCGGGCCGTGTAGAATCGGGAGTTGGCCGTCTTTGGTTTGATGTAGCTCTAGAAGCAGCAGATGTTCCGTCAGTCGTGGCAAAGGAGCTCTGACTAATCTCGTCACTGAGTTCACCTCGGTGGCTGGAAAGGATAGGAAAAAACACAACAAAACACTGCGTTTCCACGATCTTAAAAGTCAGAGCTCCTGTAGACAACTGTAGAAAGAGAAAAACAGAAAGTTGAAATGACCGGTGATACCTCCGTGAGCACCAGCCCCTAACAAGAGGGGACACCTGTCGGTGCTGTGTAGCTGTGCTGTGCAGTGTGAAACACTGTTCTGTTGGCACACAGAACCCCCAGGGAAGCCGGGAATACCAGCAGCCCCTGGTGAGAGGAATCTGGGGACAGGAAGTTCCATAGCCTCTCCAGGTCACACGCTCAGGTGGTGGGGGCAGGATTTGACCTTGACTGTTTGACCCTGGAACTTGCATTTTTTTAATCATGAAAATCTGTTTCCTCTGAGGCATTATGTACATTGTGTGGTTTTCTTCCTTTGGAAATGCATGAAAATTCTCTCTCTCTCTCTCTCACTAACACACACACACACACACACACACACACATGGCCTGTCCACATCTGGGGCCACGTTCTATGTTTTGTCATATAATTTTATATGTACAGTATTGATTAGAAACCATGTTTGCTGACTGTAGTACGTTCCTTCTCGTGGAGTGCTGTGGTTTGCATGTGTCCCCCGAAGTCCCGAGTTTTGGCAGCTTGACCCCCAGTGGGCGGTCGCTTTAAGAGATGATGAGGTCGTGGGGCGGTGCCCTAGGAGTGGTCTGGCACTGTTATCACCCAAGAGGGTTCCCGATGGAAGGATGAGTCCCGCCCGCTTTCCTTGCTCCTCTCTGTCTTGCTCTCTCCCTCTTTCCCCTTCTGCCACTGGGTGACGCGGCTCAGAGGCCCCCGCCAGAGACCGGCACCTGCGCCTCCCGTGTCCCAGCCTGCAGAGTGATGAGGGACAAGCCTCCATTCTTTACACATTCACCAGGTTCAGGGACTCTGCCGCAGCCGCCCAGGGCAGAGTAAGGTGGGGGAGGTCCCCCAGAGTTTGTTAAAAATCAGTCTCCCCACCTCAGGCCTTCATGCTGTTTCCAAGTGGCGTTGGTTCAATTCAGAACCGATGCTAAGGTGAGGGCTCAGTGTGTCTGAGCGAATGCGCTGTTTTATCCAGGTGAATCCCCGCAGGGCACGTTCCTGAGAGGGAACATGTGGGAAGTTTCCCTGGCCTGGATATAATCCAGGTTCTCACACAGGCTAGATTGGTGCCTGGCTTTGGCCATGCAAATGACATGAATGGATTGGCGCTTTTCTTTTTTATATAAAGATTTATTTATTGGAAAGGCAGAAATACAGAGGAGGGGAGAGAGAGAGCGAGCGAGCGAGAAAGATAGAGATTGACCATCCATCCACTGGTTCACTCCCCAGATGGCAGGGATGTGCCAATCTGAAGCCAGGAGCCAGGAGCTTCTTCTGGGTCTCCCATGTGGGTGCAGGGGCCCAGGAACTTGGGTTATCTTCCACTGCTTTCTCAGGCCATTAGCAGGGAGCTGGATCGGAAGTGGAGCAGCCAGGACTTGAACCCAGCACCCACGTGGGATGCCAGGGCTGCAGGCGGCTTTGCCTGCTGTGCCACAGCAGCGGCCCCATGGATTGTTTGCTAATTTGTGGTTGTGACTTCAGCTCTGCCAGAAACTCTATGACAAGAGCACATTTTATAGGAGGGACAATAAGTCCCACAAAGGCTCTTAAAAACCCCAAGGAGCTCCATGATGGGCTGTTTCCCTTCCTGGGGCTGGGAGCAGAGGGAGTGGCTTTCATTGGCCTCAGGTTCATGGAGAGCCTTCCCGGGCCAGCACTGTAGAGGGAGGGCCCTGTGCTCTCCTGCGTCCCAGCACTGGGGCAGATCCAGGAGCTCTGGGGACCTCTCTTTGTGCTCTGGTTCATCTGACCGGCTTCCTCATGCCCAGCCTTCTAGGTTCATGCCTGGTGCCTCCTCCTGGGATGTAGACTGTCCCTTGTGCCAGACAAGGGTGGCAGTGTATCCATTCCCTGGGAGCACCTTACAAAGTAGGTCCTGCACTGTTCTCCCATTCTGCAGAGGAGGAAGCCAAGGCATAATGAAGTCCCATGACTTGTGCCGGGCCACACTGCTGGTAAGTGGTACACTGGGGACTGGAACCCTCATTGGCTGAATTCCCAAGACTTTCCTTTGCACAGCCTCTTGGGGCCTCTCCACGTGAGGTCCTGTGGTTCAGGTGGGGGCTGAGTGTGGGGTTCAGTGCTTGTCCTGATTCCTGCAGAGTCTGGAGAGAGCAGGGACCCATCTCCTGGTGATGGCGTTGTGTTCAGGGTGGATTCCGAGGGCCTCCTGGGAAGGGGAGGATCCTGCGGTTGTGGCCGTGGCCAGGCAGAGATGAGAGTTCAAAGTGGTTCCTGCCGAGAAGCACTTGACCCTGGCAATGCTGTCATTCGCTTCCTCTTATGATAACAGTGACTTTGGTTGCTGTTTCTGTATTTAGCAACATGGCTTCCACTCCTTATCAACGTCCAATAAGGAATCCAGGGCTCCCTGCTTTGGTCATTGGTTCCTGAGCCTCCGGGCACTGAGGGTCTGGGCTGCTGCCTCATTTCCTCCCAGCTCACCAGGGAGACTCAGTGAGGCACGCGTGTGACAGCTGTCCCGGGAAGACGCTCTGGGTGTGGGATGACGGACAGCAGGGCCACAGCTTCAGAAGAATGGCCTGTGACGTCTGCCACAGCGACTGCGGTGGCTTGTGAAGTCTGCCACCGCACGGCGACTGCACACAGCTCCCAGGGCTCTCGTTTGGAAAAGTGAAAGTTGGTTGAAGGTAACTGATTCCCCAATTCCCCACCTCCGCCTCCCGCCTTCCGGCCGTCCCCGTGTGTTGCTGCCTGTGGGTGTGTGCTGCGGAGTAGAATGTTGGCTTGCAGCGGAGGGCAAGGCCAGCAAAGGACCTAAAGCATTCTCGGGACCTGGGTGGCTGGCCATGTGCCACACAGGGATGGCAAGTGAGGCCCTTTCCCCACGGGGCTCCCGTGGGCCTGTCCTGCTCTGGAGCTGGCCATTGTCAAGTGGAGAATTCACAGGATAAATCGTAACTGCGATCGTTTCCAAAGACGACGCTGGGGTCCTCCAGCTGAAATGACCTTGCAAAGCTGCAGCCGTTGTACAGCAC